TACGGTGACAGCAGTACAGTGAGGTAAAGTGATGGGCAGTAAAGTGACATCTTAAAGGGCAGTAAAGTGACTTTATAAAGAGCAGTAGGGGACTTCTAGAGGGCGGGGAGGTTAAGAAGTGTTCAAGAGTCCAACAGCAGAGGGGAAGAAACTGTTCTTATGGCGGGAGGTTCTAGTCCTGATGGACCGCAGCCTCCTGCCTGAGGGGAGTGGATTATAATAACGGGTTCGTCTGTGACACTTCACTGAGACTGTTCCAGTACTACAGGGACAATGGAACTGGACTTACTCAAAAGCTGATCTGGAAACATGTGTTATTCCCACAATAAAAGGTGTAACACGGACCCTCCCGATCTGTGAGTGCAGTGACGCTAACTGGTCGTATACTTCTGTAAACTAAATAAATAGGGTATAATTGTGGATCAAGGACAAAGGGCTCGATGTGACGGATTTTCATTGTTGGAAAAGGTTTATTCTTATGTCTGAAATGACTAAGTACCGGTGATAAACAACTCAGAGCGTGATGCTACGTCACTGCGGGCGGAGGAAGGCGGGCTCACGGACAGAGGAGCAGACTCTTCTCTGAATCAGCCAGTTTGAGTCGAGGTGACGTCACCTCTATACGGGAGATGACTATAATCTCACAAGTTTTGAGTGTTGTATGGTGAATCACACACATTATTATCACTCATGTGTATAGGATTGACTGTGAAACATGAAGAAAAGCGTATTATAGGACCTTTAAATACGTTTTCCCTGTCTTTGGTTTGTACAATATTTCATTCTGGAATACGAATTTGTATCTTGTTGAGTTGAATAATGGGGAAACTTCCTGTGTACAAGCTGTTTCGGCTACACCAACAGATGGGTCTTGTTTGCTCCATAGAATAGTAAATTGGATAATGAATGACTTTTTAACAATTTAATCTAGTTTGCAGAATTTGATAAAGGACTTAAGAACAGATACATCAGTTAATCATTCTCCAAGTGCAGGTAAAAAAAAAAAATCAAGATGAAGTGACCAGAGCCTTTGAGATGGCAGTGGAAAAACAAACTTCTGTTGGAGACGTTTTGAGAAGAGTGAGAGGGAGTGTCTTGCTGTACAAATGAAGCAGCTTTGCTTTTGTGAGCTCCACAGCGATCAATAGATTTCTGTGTATTCTCAGGGAGTCAGGAAAAAGAATTGTGCTTCCAGACCTTGTGACACAAGAGTAGAATTAATGAGCGAACTCTTGGTTTTTTATGGTTCTTTGTATGGTTGTATCGTTTCTTGTTCTATTGATAGAAAGGTCCTTTGAAACGGTCTGAAATAAGCTGGGGCAATAGGTTTTCCAACTGTGAGGGAATGAAATAGAATCAAGCTTCCTCTTTAACACAGACATCGAGGATCATAAGTATTTACATAGCAGAGTTTTGGAACATATGTTTTAGACTAAGAAGTGAAGTAGAGTGGACCCTCTCTATGATTTTGACTCTGATTGAAGTTGTGTATTTCTGCTTGAAAGAGAGAGCCAAATGTTTAAACTTTAACCATGTGAATACAAGGCTGTGGGAAGTGAAGTGAAGCACCCCCTGTTGGAGGCCCAATGCAGTTACCATAACTGGACAATATTATTTATATTTATTTATTTTTATAAGTATTATAATTACATGATATAGTAAATAAAAGTTTTAAGTTTTTGCCATAATGAAAATAAAAACATTTGAGCCATGTTTGGATATTAAATATTGTGCAGTTTGTCCCTTCAGACTTATGGTGGTTTGCTTTTACAAAAAAAAATGCTGCATTTATTTACAAACGTCTGCATTTAAACACTTAAATGTATTATTTTGGCTGAACTTGCAATTATTCTGTTTAAGTGGGGTGCTGCATATACATATAGCTTGAATATACAGTTTAAATAAAGGTTCTAGTCTTTGCCCTTGTTGCGTTTATTTACCTTGCGCACCCCCATCCAAAATATGTTCCCACGTCTATGTGTGAATATGTGCACGAACATATGTTATATCTGGAGTGATATATCTAGTAAGGATGCCCTTATCCGATACTCACTTTACTACTATAATGAAGATGACACGTGAAGCAATGAATAATAGTCTGCAGTCGACAAAAATGGTGGGGGGCACTCATTACTTTGTGAAATAAAAGTCCCTGCGGTCGCCTACACGTTTCTTCACGAAGTCTTCTTCAGGGCTCAAACCTTATATCGAATTGCGTAATCTTCTACTTCTACTATGCCAGTCTTAGGGCTGCGCAGTAAATCGATTTTAATTATTAAGTCAAATTTGAGGTGTAGGGGGATTTCTTTTTAATTCGGACATTGCACTGATACAAACAACCATGGATCTATCATAATAGCAAACAACGCAATCCATGCTCAAGCTGTTACAGTAGCTACAGTAGCAGAGTGTAAACAGGAAGAGAAACGGAAACTCAACTCAACCCCCAAGGTAGTCGCTGAAGTTAGTATTAGCGCCACCAGCTGGAGCGAGCGTTGTACTACAGCACAGTTTCTCTGGCATGTTGAAAGAACAAGCATGAAAACCCAAGGAGGAGGTTTTTGTAACAGACTTTCTCTGTTATAACAATTGCATTAACAATTGTAATCATTAGTTTTAAAAATGTGATAGTTCATGTAAATAATGTGTTTAATATGATTGATATATTATGGCCAACGTTTGTGCATTTGCAGTTATTTTGAAGGTGCATTGTGTCACTGTAAGTTAAGTTATTAGAAAACTGATAAGCTACATTTTCACTGTTTACAATGGCATGTTTTAAGGCTTATTTCCTGTTACACTTATGCTTCATGGGAAAATTTACATTAAACTGCCTAAAGGAAGAGATTTTTTTTTTTTTTGCCATATTGCCCAGTCCTAGCCTCCATTGCCTATGCCTGTCTCCCATTGAAATCACAGAATCAAGTGGTTTACTTTCAAAAGTAATGTGGGATTCAAAACTGCGTGTGTTTGTTATTACTACTGATACCATCTGTTTATCCAAGGTAATGGTTTGGGTTGTGAATTATGTATCTGATATGGATAGAACCAATATTCTGATTAGGGCTTGATGTAATGACACTCATTTACTGATGGATACAGACCTAGAGTGTCATTGTTTTTTAACTTTTATAAAAGTTACGTTGTTTTTTAGTTAGTTAGAAGTGTTTATCATGTATGTACTTTGTATGGATGGGTTTGTGTCTGCTGCTGTAAACCCTGATTTCTCATACGTGTGATCAATAAATTATCTACCAGTATCCACCTTTTGTCATTTGCACAATAAACAACACGATTGGACCAATTTAGTGATAAATAAATGAATAAATATTACCTTTAATCGTCCCACAGCGGAGAAATAATCTTGTAGCACTGGTATCGCTTCAAGATTCAATAATTTATTTTCCATTTGCAGTAAAACCACAATGGAAAAACTGTGCAAGACTACCCCAGTGTGCACCAGACACAGGCAGTAATCAAAAAAAGATAGAACAGGTCAAGCAGAGCGGGAGCAGAGAGATAAAAGTACGCACCAGAGCTCTTGCTTCATATCAGGTTCCTGCAGATATTGCTAATCTTAGGGTGTATTCAGACCTGAAAAGTCCTTTGCTCCGCTTGCTTGATCCGAATCAAAAGTGGACCAAACTTTTTTCTTTTGCTCCGGTTTGTATTCAGACTGTCCTTTTTGCAAGTGAACTTTTTTATATAAACATATTGACACGTGTGACGATCGGCGCTCCTATTGGACAGCTAGAGCTCACGGAGGATAGACGCGGAACCGGAGGAAAACATTGAGGGCTCGTATGTGCAGCATGTCTGCTCTGCCTATGTTTGCTCTTTTTAGAGCAAAACCACTTTCAACATCAACAGCAGCAGCTCATATGACACAGACGAAACCCCTTGTTTTAAATATTGGAACAGCGTCGGAGAATGCGTGAGGAGAAAGCCGAAGGAGACTCTGTCTGTGCGCTCCGTGCCCTGTCCCACACATGGATCTATGATAATAACGGCCCTGTTCAGCATTGTGGATAAACCATGGATCTATAATAACCACGGGACAAACAGACGCTGAGGATCAGGTAGGAACCAAAGAACACAGTTCACTACATGATATTGCTTTTTGAGACGAAGTCAAAACAGTGTCAGGCTTTTAATAATGCAAATGGTTTGAAGATGCTGCCATTAACATCAGTGTATACTGTGAACAGTTTTAACTCCATAAGCCTGTTGCACAGCGTCTCCTCACTGCTCCAGGTCTGCACACAGCTCAGTGTTGTTGTGTAGCGTTAGCAGCATAGTTAGCAGCATAGTTAGCCGTTGCGTGGCTAATTCCTCAGTTTCTGTCTGCGGCTTGTTAAGGCCAAAAAATGCGCACGTATCTTGGAGTTGTGTCGGATCGACACCGGATGTATTCAGACCTGATTCGACTTGGACCAGAATTCGTTTGGAAGCGAAGCGAGACCACCTAAAAAAGTGGGTCTCGGTTCGGTTCTTTGGTCCGGACCAGGATTCGTTTGTGTGTATTCAGACCTGCATAAAAGCTTCAGATCAGAGTTCCAAACGAATCCTGGTCCGTTTAAAGTGGAGCAAATGTGCAGGTCTGAATACACCCTTAGTGTCAAGATCGGTAATGGACCTGAAAAACGTTGGATTGGTTCTTCATCCTGTTTTGATGAAAAAATATGAATGTTGTAGTACCAAACCACCCATTTAATTTATGTGATTTAGTGTTCAGTGAAATTACTATCATTGTGAAGCAGAATAAACCAATTGTCCTGTAGGTGAATGTGATGATGTGTTATTGCAGTAGTAATATTTTGCTAAAGTTCTGCAGAATTATGTTTATCGAAAAACCCAAACAGTTTCTCTGAATGAACATTTACTCAACAACACTCCCACCATTCTGGCTCTACTCCTGTGATGTGTCTGTGATGTTTCTGTATGCCGCAGGGCTTCGGAGTGTAAAAAGATGCAGATAACAGGTTTTCTCTCCCTCTCAGGAGCTCCATCACCACAGTGTCCATCGAGGTGCTGCCTCCCAACAACCAGAGCCCCCCACGCTTCCCCTTGGCCATCTACAACCTGGAGGTCAGCGAGGCCATGAGGATTGGGGCCATTCTGCTCAACCTGCAGGTGACTTACCTACTTATGTCTTTTGAAATTTTGGGGACAAGAAGGACCAGAAACATCATTGCATTTGTTTTGGTCTAATTTGTTGTTGTTGATTATTACTATTATTGTTGTTGCTATATTTGACCAAACAGTAAGTATTTGGATATGTTCCACCTTCTGAAACTTGGATATTAACTTCAAACGGTTCTTGAAGACACTGTATTTGCATACCCACTGAATAAAAACACAGGAATTTTGACCACTAAGCAACATGGCTGGTGTCTCAGAATGACTACATCCACCCTGCCCAGCAACCTAGTCTTTTTGCGGAGGCGTGTTTGGTGTTTCTTGTAAAGAAGCTTATAAAACTACACATAAGTCACACAAGGGCCATTACTTTTCACCGGGGTCTCCAACCTGTAACTTAGGAGCTACAAGTTGCTCGCCTGCCGCTTTCCTCTATATATCCTCTAATTGTATGTGCTTTCCACTGCTATTTCATCAATTATTATTTACAAAACTGATTTAACATCATAGTCATAAGTAGTTGCTCACGCGCGCACACATATTTACACTCATATTTTGTTCGTCCCTGACTCAAATGATTGAGAACCCCTCCTGTAAACAAAACAGCACTATGAAAAAGTGATATTTTTAGAAATATGCCACGCTTCTTTATTCTTGGAACTGGGGAACTGCTGTGCTGTTAGAGATCTGCCTTTTGATTAGGAATGACATATAACATGTGCAGAAGTGTTTTCATGCTTCCATTAGTACTGTACATCTGTGTATGTACTGGCTTAAACAGACTTGGGCGGCACGGTGGCTGAGTGGATAGCACTCTCGCCTCTCAGCAAGAAGGTCCTGGGTTCAAATCCCGGTTGGACCAGGGCCTTTCTGAGTGGAGTTTGCATGTTCTCCCCGTGTCTGCGTAGGTTTCCTCCGGGTGCTCCGGTTTCCCCTACCACTAAAAATATGTACAATAGGTATGGCATGTGCCTCCTGTACTGGCACCCCCACTCCCAAAAAAATAACAATTGTAAACCGCTTTGAGACTCCGATGTGCAGTGAAAAGGCGGTATATAAATAAAAGCTTACTTACTTACTTACTTACTTGAACTAGTGTTTGAGTACAGCTGAATCCCTGTGTGCCTTCTCATAAAAGAAACAATATAAAGTTTTATAAAGCAGACCATCCGTTATGGCTTGGCTCCAAAATACATTGTGAAAAACCATCTTGAACCACCCTATTATTGAGTCTTCTCAAATTTGACTTATGGTTTATATTTTATTTACACTTACACACACACACACACACACACAGGCACAATATACCTGTTCTCCAGCCGTGACTTGCCTCGCGGCTCTCAGCTTTGTTGCCATAGTCGGGGAAGCAGATGCTTGGGTCAAACTGAACCTGTGGGTGTGTGTGTTCCCTCTCCTCAGGCCACAGACAGAGAGAATGACCCCATCACGTATACCATCGTGAGAGGGGATCCACAGCAAGTCTTCAACCTGACACGCACGTAAGTCTACAGCTGCTACCGTAAACAGGGCGAACGGAAGAGGTAGTGTGTCTGCTCAAGGGGAATAGAAAGGGAAATGGCTGGAGGAAGACATCTATTATATTGAATGTTGTGCTCCTAAGAGAATGTTGTGTGAATTACATGCACAACTCTTATATTGGCTTTCACATAAATTCCACATTTTGTCTGTAAGATGTTGTTAACAACAACTTATTAGAAAATCTGCTTTGTTTTGCATGTAAGAATGAGTCTTCTGTGTCACAAGCTTTTGGTAAAGAACTGATGAGCTGGTTCTCTCTCTTTTTCATTTATTTTCATTTATTGTCGTTTGGTCATTCATAGTCATTACAGTTTAAATCAAAACAAACACAATAACATAAATAAGTCTGTGCATGACCAGGCACAGGCTGAAGCCAAAGCTTATTGGACCTGCCCCTTGTAGACCATATTAAATCAAAGGCAGCACATTAACAAACATCCATATTGTATTTTATCACACTAAACAAGATACAATACACAAAACGTTTCCGATTTCTACACTGTCACATATTTTTCCATCATTATTTCCTTGAATTTTCTTTGCTTTTTCTGTCTGCAAAATCTGAAAAAAGCTGAGATGTGTGTGTGTCCAAACTTTTGGTCTGTACACACAGACACACACTTTCTCATTCAACGAGTTTCCTTTCTTTTCATGACTTTGACTGCAGATTCATACCCAGGCTGTGTAAGGGCTATTTGACCAAGAAGGAGAGTGATGGGTGCTGGGCCAGATGACCTGGCCTCTACAGTCACCTGATCCCAATCCAGATGGTTTTGGGGTGAGCTGGACCACAGAGTGAAGGCGAAAGGGCCAACAAGTACTAAGCATCTCTGGGACTCTTAGAAGACCATTTCAGGTCACTACTTGTTGAAGCTCATCAAGAGAATGCCAAGAGTGTGCGAAGCAGTAATCAGAGCAAAAGGTGGCTAAGATTTTTTTAGTATGTACATAATTCCGCATGAGTTGATTCATAGTTGTGATGCCTTTTAAAATCTACAATTTTCATGATCAACAATTTTCATAATCATGAAAATAAAAAAACGTTTTGAATCCAAACTTTTGGTCTGTACTTTATAAACATAGTATATATACAGTGTCTGCCACGTGCACCCTCAACGGGCGGTTATCCCTCTCTAAGCCTGGGTCATGGGAGCCTGAGGGTTCTGCAAAGTATCTTTGCTGTTCTTAGCACTGTACTTCTGAGCCAAGATTTACAAGTTTATTCCAGGATCTACTGTAACCACTCCTCCAGCTTAAGGTTCACTGTCCCGAGTGCACCGATCACCACAAGCACTACTGTCACCTTTACTTTCCAGGCCCTCTCAAACTCCTCTCCTCCTTGGTATTTCTGGTCTTGGTATTTTTTCATGCTCTTTTTTTCCTGACGTTCCTATTGCTTGGAATTACCATATCGGCTTTCAGCACGGTCACCACGGCTTTGCTCTACCCTTCGTCTACCATCACAATGTCAGGTTGGTTCGCTGTTTGTCCAACACGGCCCCTAGGTACTTGTAGGAAGGTTACATCTTCTCACTGTTTCCACCACTGCTTATGTGCACTAAAATCCTCCTTATGTTGCCTGTATTCTACCGCCTCTCCCTTCCTAATGACTGTATTGTCAAAAAACTTGTCAGAACTTGTCAGAAAACGAGTGGTGAGGCAGAAGTCATACATCTACTGTGTAAATAGAGCAGGAGACAATACAGTCCTCTGTGGTGCTCCTACACTGCTGCTAAGGCTGCTGGAGATGGTTTTCCCCATTCGGACATATTGCAGCCTGTTGGTGAGATTGTCCATAACACCGGGAATGGCTCCACAACCATCCGTTAGCTTCACCTTTGCAAAAAAAACACCCCTTAGAGCCCTGTTGTTTTTTTACTACTCCAAGCAATCCATGATCCATGTGTGTGGTATTAAATTGTAGGCTTTCTGGTAATAAATCCAGGCTGTGCACAGGTTGGTGTTTCATGACCGGCAGTCTTGGGCAACTGCTCTGTCAACCAGGAGCTGGTGTTTAGCTACTCTGGTAACTCTACCAATGCCCTTCTGAGCTGTGCCCATGAATTGCTCCATGTGCCCACTATCTGAGCCACAATGATGCCTGATATGATGTTCCATGTTATGGAGAGAAAGGTTAATGGCCGGTAGTTGGAGGGGACTGCACTCTTCACAGGGTCCTTCATGATCAGGACCGTTCGCCCTTCGGTTAGCCATTCTGGGTGAGGCCCATCCCTCAGCAGCTGGTTCATTTGTGCTGCTAGGCACTCATGGAGTGGTGTAAGTTTCCTTAGCCAGAAGGCGTGGATCATATCAGGGCCAGGTGCTGTCCAGATTTCATACCTTTCGAACATTATGGTAACTGAGTTCTGTTCTGGGAGGTGGCTGTGCTCCTCTTTCATCAGAGAGACCACCAATGTGCACTGCTGTTATGTGCCCCATTCTCCCACATTTTCATCCCACCTCTCTGGACCTCTATCAATTGACTCACTTCTCTCAGAGAAGCCTTGACCTTAAGACGGCCTTGACCCACCGTCTTTTCCATGGTGGGTATTGTTTCTCATAGCTCCCATGGTTGCTCTTATAGCCAAGGATCACTGCTGCCGAAGTGTACATCAGCTGAAACCAATCAATGGTTGTGGTGGTAGGCATTGCCCTCATTGCTGCATTCACGCTTTTTATGAGACTTTCAGCTGCCATGTGCCCATTCTCGCCGTGATCTTATCTTTCAGATCAGTCGCTGCCTCATTCAGCGTTATTGGTTCCATTGGGGCTTTGTACCTAACATTGGGTTGGGGATCAGCATCTGTGCCACTTGTGGCGTCATACATGTGTTTTACCTGATCAATCTCTAGCTATGATAGCAGCTGCCCTTAGTGTATTTAGGAGCACTGAGTTACTAGTTGTTTCGGGGTCAACTGTGACTCTGGGTTTCAATAAATAAGTAAGCACACATTCTCTGCATGTAACGTGTCTGACCAGGATAACTCGAGTAGTAGCATTCCAACAGAGCCCTGTTCTCGCATCTTGCCCACTTTCGTCTTGTTCTAGTAGCCCACTTCTCATCAAGGTGCTCTGGTTTCCCAGCACCTGACGGAGACCTTCTTTGGCAGGGCAAAGTCTGAGCCGGTATCTCATTGTTTATTTGTAACTTTTTGATATGAGTTAGTCACTAGCGTTAAGGGTCTGCCCAAGGACCCACACTGGATGTTGGTGTTATTGACCGATAGAAAAATCAGCTTAGTGTAACTATGTTTCCAACAATTAAACTCTCCAATCATACTTTTTGTCCACTGATTGCCATTCCCTTTATTAAATGTGCGCCTTAAATTACATATCAATTGAATAAGAGCCTTCTGAATCATACCTGAGTGTTTTTTTCTGAAACCTGTCTTAACCTTCTCCTCTCCTCAGACACGACCCATGAAGTAGAATAACAATTGTTGCAAAACTTGAGTCATAAAAAGTGTAAGTGGCTAATGCGTTTAACAGCCAGGCTTTCATAAGCTAACACGACATTGGAGAGGCTACAGCACGACTGGAAAATGCCAGACGCGTTACGACTAATTGATTTGCGCCTCTTTTGTCTCCATTCACAGTCTGCAGGCAAACAAGGACAGGCTGCATTGTGCATTAAAACACTGCTTTTTGTGTGTTTGTTAAAAGCAGTTAAGTTTAAAGTTAATTTTAAATTTGTATACATATTTTAGTTCTATTGTATCATAGACCACTACCTCAATTTACTCTTCATATTTTGGTCATCATTTTAAAAATCACTTCTCTTTGGACGGCAACCAAGAACTAAAGAAGGCCAGAACGATGTCTTTTTGTGTGTGTGAATTTGTCCAGGTTCGACTAGTTAAATATCAGCTTTAACAGTTAGCACAAGTCAGATCCAAGTTGTGTCCTCTTTTTGTTTAAAACCTGGACTCCCATAACTCTGAAACTATATAGCACATTTAAACCAATGGAATTATGGAAAAAGGTTAATTTAGTTTGTGTTTTTAGCTGTAACTGGTGAGTATAACTTGAAATAAACAGTGTATTGCTACGGTAACTAGGACTTGCTCTTCTATGATGGAAAACCAAGCTTGCTTGGCTCAGATCCAAAACCACTTCAGACCCAGTCCAGCATCTTGGCGTTTTAAATGTTGTTTGCCAAGTGGCCAAAAATGGCTAAATTTGAATTGAATGGAAGAATTTTTCCCTACCGCTGTCAGACTGTACAATAAGTCACTTTAAGTCTCTTGCACTAGGACTAAAAACCTGCACTACTATTGCCACCGTTTCTTTAATTGTACTTTATTTGTTCCTGAAAAGACTATATGTTTGGCCTTTAACATGTTTGCACACTTCTTTCTTTTGCACAAATCTTGAGTGATTCTATCCAAATATGCCAAATATGACATGTACATTTCTCTTGTGTGAGATCATTAAAGTCTATCTTATCTTATCTTATCACATCATTTTCTATTGATATTTTTGAAATAATTTAAAATCCCATCAATTGATCACTCTCAGTAGATACTGAGCATAAAATGTTTTTTACCCATCAACATTTTATGCAGTAAAAAGACCCTCACATACTTTCATTTGTCGAGCTATTTCATAGACTTTCCACACATCCAATCGGACTCTCATGAAAATGCATTTGAATTCAGCTAATATGAACGATGAGCCCTCTGGTCTATAAGTCGCTTCAAATGGGTCTGGTTCTCTTTGGGAAGCCAGCAGACTCTCAGACTCTGTGTATCCGTCAGCGGTTCTGTCACATTCCAGATGCGCCCCCTCAAATAATAATGACATGTCCACGCTTAAAGAGTACAGATAGACATATTATGGGCTAAATAAAGAGGACATGCCTCGGACACAGATGGAGACGGATGAATGCTGAATAAAAGATTCAGGCTCAACAATGATAAATAACCTGGATAAAGTAGACACTGTAGAAGATAGGGAATGA